GGTATATCAACATATCTCAGGCATATATCGATGCATATCTCATTTTCATAAAGCATACCATGTATATAAACCACCTTTCCATGGAGGTCGATGGAACAAGCAACAAATCAATCCGAGGACCAGAAACTTCCCTGTCAAGCTAGCAACCTCAAGCTAAAAACCCTGGGTCACCAAACAGTAAGGTCACAGTCTGTTCATACCAGAAATATCATTAATATTCATAGCCCAAAGTTTCATTAAGGTCCTACATAGTGTTTAAGACTTCCCAACTTGTTTTAAGTGATTTTAGGCTCAAACTGCCAGAAGTATTCGAATACTCCTCGATAAGTATTCGAATACTTCGTGCTCCCAGAAAGTATCTCAATACTTTCACTAAAGTATTCGAATACGACAAAGTATCTGAATACTTTTACTACAGTATCTGAATACCACAAAGTATCTGAATACTTCCTGATAAGTATTCGAATACCACAAGTATCCCAATACTTTTACTAAGGTATCTGAATACTTCCATTCCTAGAAAAGTATCCCAATACCCCTTGATGAGTATTCGACTACCTCATGATGAGTATTTGAATACTTCACGAAAAGTATTCGAATACTTATCAGACAAAATGCAGAAACTCGTGCAGTTTCTGCATAATCTTCATTTTAAGGGTCCTCCAACGATTCTGAGTCCAATGTTTCCACAAATAGAAGTTCATTACCACTTATTATTTATAGATTAGCGACTCTTAACTTAAATGATCAAAGTTTCCCTTTTTAAAGACTCATACAAGCTAAATTCATGAAATTTCAAAGGAAGTGATCTTGGTTTACCTTAAGGCTTGTGAAAACAAAAAAAGGAAGTGACTTGGTGATTTCTATCTCACTCCATTGCGCAGTAAATGTGAGGCCACGAAAATGATCCACAAGCTTGTCCCTTTATACTAAAAGATGGCTTCTTGAAGCCTTAAATTACATATAAATGGCTCCACAACACCCAACCAAAATGACAGTAGCTGAAGCTCAGAAATGAGATGTCTTTCAACCTCCCAAGGCTTATGCGCACTCCACAATGGAGTTTTTGTGAAGAAATCAAGAGGAAAGGTGGCCTCTTGAAGGTTTCTATGGAGTAGGAAGGTGGAGACAAGGTGGAGCACAAAGACTGCTTTAAAATTTCACGTAGAGAGGTTAAGGTTTCTGACCTAGGTTAAAGTGTCATCCTATATATAGGTACACTTAACTTAATCCGTTGGTATTAGCTCTAATAGCTCCGCTAATCATTTTAATCTGAAACTTCATATTCTGAACCTATCCATATTTCTAGGATTTTTCATATTTTTATTATAATTTTCGCAGCACTTTGCCGATATGCGTTTTATACGCAGTCAATATTAGTCCTGACATCAAAACTCATTATTATGACTCCAAACTTGGTATTCTTAACCTAGATATTATTCTAGGAATATTCATATACTTATTATAATTTTTCAGAATACTTCTCCGGTACGCACTTATACCGCGAAGCGGAATCAGTATCAATACTTTTCATCAGAACATCGATTTAAGCATTACTTGTCCTTCTCAAAAATTATTCTAATCTTTCTATATTTATCCAAAGTCAATTATGGAATTATTTCTTAAATTCATAATCAAGTTATTTAATTTTCTAATTTAACGGTGCGAGTTCTTACAATATTCGCCACCACGATCTGATCGTAGTGTCTTAATCATCTTGCATCATTGTTTTTCTACATCACTCTTATACTCCTTGAACTTTTCAAAGGCCTCAAATTTATGTCTCATTAGTTATACATACTCAAATCTTGACTTATCATCAGTAAAGGTAATAAAGTAGGAATATCCACCTCTAGCCTCGACAGACATTGGACCACATACATTAAAGTGAATGGGTCCTAACAACTCACTAGCCCTATATTTCTCAAGACTTTTGGGCTTGATCCAAGTCATTTTTCCAGCTAGACAAGACTCACAAGGTCCATAGGATTCTAAATCCATGGAATCTAGGTATCCATTCGCATGTAGCCTAAACAGTCTTATTTCGTTTATGTGTCCTAGTCTACAATGCCAAAGATAAGATCGATTATCTATCCTAGGTTATTTCACATTCTGTTAAGGGTGAAACCCTTAAAAGGAGAAAGGAAAGGAAGATGAAGAGAAAAGAACTCTGATATTATTCAAGATGATTATGAAGAGTATCTCTTTACATGTATTTATACAATTCAACATTAACCAACTAATGTAACTAACAAATGCTATCTGTCCATACACGTGTAAGCCAATATTATTCACATGCTTCCTAAGCTAACACGTTTCAAACAACTAATACGTGTCTAAACTACTAACCACTAAGCCACATAATCAGCTAGAAGAACCGAATCCCTTCTCTCACGGTTTGATCTCCTTCGACTTGTAACATTCCCCTGCTCTTCACAAGTGACCTTGTCCTCAAGGTCAAGATTAGGATAGCAACGTTGCAAATCATCTCCCTTCTCCCAGGTGGCATCTTTAGGAACTGAGTGAGACCATTGAATTAAGAATTCACGAACTTGCTGGTTGTTAGAAGATACAACCCGTTCACTTAAGACAGCCAAAGGAACCTGTACAGGCTTGTTGTCAACAGCGAAGGAAGGCAGAGGATGGGGAGTCACTAGCTGAGTTCCTACGCAAGGCTTCAACTGTGAGACATGGAAAACAGGATGAATTTGACATCCTTGTGGTAGTTTCACTTCATATGCAGCAGGCCCCATTAAACGTGATACTTCAAATGGACAAAAAAATCTTTTACTGAGCTTATGATTAGCTCTTCGTTCCACAGTGACTTGACGATAAGGTTGTAAGCGGACCCATACCTGATCTCCCACTTGAAAAGATCTCTCCTTGTGGTGTTTGTCATACTGTATCTTCATCCGGTTCTGTGCTCTTTGTAAATGTAATTTCAGATGCTTCATTATATCATTGCGTTGCTGTAATATAGTATCAATGGCTTCTATTTTTATGAGTCCTCTTGGATAAAAAGGAATCAATGTTGGTGGCTTTCCAAAGACTGCTTGATACGGTGTCATAGCTATTGCAGAATGATTAGCTGAATTATAGTGGTATTGAGCCCAAGGCAAGAATTGAGACCATAATTGTGGTTGCTCAAAACAAAACGAGCGAAGATATTGTTCCAAATATCTATTGGTCACTTCGGTTTGTCCATCCGGTTGTGGATGGCAGGAAGACGTAGTCCTCAATGTGGTGCCACTTAGTTTGAATAAATGGATCCAAAATTGGCTAAGAAATATACTATCTCTATCAGTCAAAATTGAACGTGGGAAACCATGTACCCGCACAATGAGGTCACAAAATAATGCAGCAACCTTAGCAGATGTATAAGATGCAGGTAAACTGCCAAAATAAGCAAACTTGGATAGCCTATCTACAACTACCAAGATGGTGGTGAATCCTTTAGAGGTTGGTAACCCAGTGATAAAGTCCATAGACAATTCTTCGAACACTCCTTCGGGTATAGGCAAAGGTTGTAACAAACCAGAGGACTTAGAGGTCTCATACTTAACTTGTTGACAAATTTGGCATTCTCTAACAAAGGATTTAACATTCTTACGCATAGTAGACCAGTAGAAGGTAGCAGAAAGTCTCAAGAAGGTTCGTAAAACTCCAGCATGACCACCAAGTAGAGAAGAATGAGCCTCATTAATGAGTATAGGAATAAGAGAAGAAGAAGAGCTGAGATAATACCTGCCCTTGAAGAAAATAATTCCATTGCGAACCATAAATTCAGGATTAGCATTGGGGTTGTCCTTAAGCTGCTGATGACGTTGCAACAAGTGTGGATCTGTGGTGTTTTGATTCTGGATCTCAATTACTATATCAAAGAGTGGCTTTGATAAAATGGTATTGAGATTTCCTTCTTCGAACTTCCTAGATAAGGCATCAGCAACAGAATTTGTCTTTCCAGGTTTATACTCAATTCGAAAAGTGTACCCCATTAACTTGCAGAGGTATTTTTGCTGTTCCTCCGTGTGAATGGTTTGTGTAAGAAGCTCCTTGATACTCCTGTGGTCAGTGCGAATAACAAACTTGGAGCCTAGCAAATATTGGCGCCATCTTTTAACCGCAGCCGTTATAGCATACAGCTCCCGTATATATGTTGAAGCATTTGCTAATCTGAAATTTAATTTTTTACTAAAATAAGATATGGGCTGCTCATGCTGGAGAAGAACAGCACCTACTCCACTGCCTGATGCATCAGTTTCAAGCACAAATGGATCCTCAAAATTGGGCAAACGTAACACAGAGGTTTGAGTCATGGCAGCCTTAAGTTGTGAGAAGGCTTCATCAGCTTTGGCAGACCAGGCAAATGTCTCTGATCCCTTTAAAAGTTCTGTCAAAGGAAATGCTAATGTAGCATAGCTGCGGACAAATCTTCGATAATAGCCAGTGAGGCCTAAAAATCCCCTCAACTGCTTTAGTGTTTTAGGCACAGGCCACTCCACCATAGCAGATATTTTTTTAGGATCCGCATAAACACCATTGACATCAATCACATGACCCAAATTCTCCATTTTTTGAGTGCCAAAGGAACACTTACTAAGCTTGACAAAGAAGCAATGTTGCTGTAAACAATCCAATGCTATTTCCAGATGCTGAATGTGGTCTTCCAATGATTTGCTGAACACCAGGATATCATCAAAAAATACTATGATGAATTGTCGTAGGTAAGGCTTGAACAGATGATTCATAACTGCCTGAAAAGTAGCTGGGGCATTGGTCAAGCCAAATGGCATGACTAGAAACTCAAAATGACCATCATGAGTTCTAAAGGCAGTCTTGTGAATATCAATGGGTAACATTCTAATTTGATGGTACCCTGCCCTTAGATCCAGCTTTGTAAAGGAGCCTCCCAATTCGTCTAGGAGTTCATCAATAGTTGGAATAGGAAAACGGTCTTTAATGGTAACAGCATTGAGGGCTCTATAGTCTATGCAAAGTCGCTAAGAATTATCCTGCTTCCTAACAAGTAAAACAGGAGAGGAAAATGGACTTTGTGAGTGTTGTATGAAACCAGCATTTAATAAATCAGTTACCTGCCTTTCAATTTCAGACTTCTGGCTGTGAGCATATCGATAAGGCTTGACATTAATTGGTGAGGCATTATCTGTCAAATGGATTGAGTGATCCATTCCCCTGAAAGGAGGTAAGCCACATGGTAATGAGAAGATATATTGGAATCTGACCAAAACTAGCCAAATCTCATTGGGAACCGAATCCTTCAAAGCTAATAATTCGGAACCAATAGTATCCTGCACTTGTAATTTGGTTTCAACTTGTAGAACATCACAAATTCCCCAATCGGATTGAGGAGTATCTGAATCACCTCCATTTACAGAACCAAGTCTTTGGCCTTGTAAACATTTTGGTTGCCCCTCCAAAAATAATTCCATGGACTTATGAATGTAATCATGGGTGACCTTTCCTAACTTCTCCAGCCAAGGCATGCCAAGGATGACATTTAAATCTGCCAATTCCAACACCCATAAATCACAGACAAAACAAGTACCTTGAATCATCAAAGGTACCTTCAAGCACTTTTTGTCAGAAATCATAACCTCACCATTGCCCAAATAAACACGAATTTTATGACTATGGGACATAGGTAGAGATAGTTGAATAGCCAAGTGCTTTTGTATGAAGTTGTGGGTACTCCCTGAATCCACCAGTACTGAAAACTCCATACCCTTCAAGGTAGTTAAAAACATCAGAGAACGATAATGATGGCCATCATTCAAAGCATGTAGAGCAGCATCTCGTGATTCCCCACCTGAATTGTCCGCTTGCCATACAATGGTTTCCTCTTCAATTTCAGGATCCTGGTCAGATTCCTCTCCTACTAACAGCATCAACTTATTTTTACAGATATGATTTGAGTTCCATCGTTCATCACAAGTATAACACAGACCCATATCTCTACGTTTTTGCAAATCAACATGCGAAAAACGTTTTCCATGATTAAGAGCAGGAAGGGCCAAACGTTGTGTTGTGGACACAAGAAGTTGGTTGACTCCCATAGGAGTAGGAGAATGTGTAGTAACAGGTGTAGGATCAACCACTGAATTGAATCGTGACGCAAATTTGCGTTGTGTACCCTGAAAAGAATTCTTCAACTCACCGAAATGATCATCATATGCCATAGCAAGTTGAATGGCTTGGTGCAAAGAATTGGGTTCCCGTAATTGAACCGCACCTCGAAGCTCCGATTGGAGACCCGATATGAAAAAATTCTTAAGATCATCATCTAATTCAGGAGTTTGATTCACTAACGCCTCAAATTGCTGAATGAAATGGCGAAGAGAGGAGGTCTGGGTCAATTTAGATAACGCCCCTTTCAAATTGGTGAACCCAGGGATGCCAAAACGATGACGGAGAGCAGAACTGAAATCACCCCAAGAACAAGCAGTACCTGATTTAAAGATCCATTGAAACCAAGAAGCAGCCATACCATCCATCTTCAACCCCGCCAATGGCACCTTGGTGTCTTCTGGAATCGATTGAAGAGTGAAAAAGAGTTCCGCCTTAAAGATCCAATTATTGGGGTAATTGCCATTGAACAACGACATCTCCATCCGAATCCCTTTGAGTAAGGAACGGTTATCGGTGGAATCTGGATGCGTTAGTGGCAAATTTGAAGTATTGCCATGAGGAGGGTCACGACGAGGTGAATGGTTAGCAATCACCACCTCCTGGAGTTGTTGCATCTGATGAACCAGCAAGGAAATCTGGTTGCGGGTGTCCGTCGCTTGCATCGTTGATTGCGCACGCAATTCTTCAAATTGGGTGTCAACTCGTTGCTTGAAGGAATGAAACTCCTCCGACAATTCTTGAACCCTAGTCATAGCGTCAAGAACAGAGAGTGCAAAATGAAAGCACCAATGTTAAGGGTGAAACCCTTAAAAGGAGAAAGGAAAGGAAGATGAAGAGAAAAGAACTCTGATATTATTCAAGATGATTCTGAAGAGTATCTCTTTACATGTATTTATACAATTCAACATTAACCAACTAATGTAACTAACAAATGCTATCTGTCCATACACGTGTAAGCCAATATTATTCACATGCTTCCTAAGCTAACACGTTTCAAACAACTAATACGTGTCTAAACTACTAACCACTAAGCCACATAATCAGCTAGAAGAACCGAATCCCTTCTCTCACGGTTTGATCTCCTTCGACTTGTAACACATTCACATTGAGAACTTTATTTTCCATTTCTAGAACATATAAGCCATTTACCAAAGAAACAATAGAAAAAACAATATCATTCATAATGATCGAAAATTCACCACTTTTAATGGTAAATATAAAACCATCTCATTCTAAACAAAAAAATAGAAATAATATTTCTATAAATGTTAGGAACACAAAGAATATTCTTTAAATGCAATATAAGGCCCGTAGGCAAAACAAGGTCAACATCTCCAATAGCAAATGTAGCAACTCCTGCTCCATTCCCAACTCGAAGATCCACCTCGTTCTTGTCAAGCTTACTTGGATTCTTAAGCACCTACAACATATTGCAGATATGAGAACCACAATCGATATCCAATACCCATGAAGCCTGGTGAGCACAAGAAAAATTAACCTTAATCATGTAAATTCCTGAGGTAGAAGCATCACCATGCTTCTTTTCCATCACACCCTTGATGTAGTCAGGATAGTTCCTCTTCCAATGGCTTTTCTTGCCACAATGAAAGCACTCAGCATTATTTTTGTCTTTGCCCTTACCTTTGGCCTTGCCCTTCTACTTATTAGACTTTCCTTTGGGCTTGAGAGGATTGGGCTTTGCAAGCTCTTTTCTTTTACCCTTATCCTTGGTCTTGGAAGACCCACTAATAAGAACTTGTGTCTTATCCTTTTTATAGATACTTTAGCAGTTGTTAACATGCTTAACAACTCAAGCAGTGTAACATTGTATGTTATAGTTCATAATTAACCCACTGAAAGAAGGAGGAAGCGATAATAGAACTAAGTCATTAATTTTACATTAATTATGAAGCCTAGACCCTCTAGCTTCTCAATGAGCGCTATCATCTTTGGGATATGGATGTTAACAAACATGCCTTCAATAATCTTGCATAGGAACAATTCCCTAAAGGTCTCATACCTTTCATGCCTACCCTTCTTATCATACAACTCCTTGAGATGTAGGATAACGGAGGGAGCATCCATATGCTCGTGCTGCTTTTGCAGCTCGGGTGACATGGATGCCAACATGATGTGACAAGCCAACACATTATCATTCATGTGTTGCTTGTGGGCCTCAAAATCGAATTTCGCGAACCCATCTTCTCCCTCCTTAGGTGCAACAAGTAAAGCAGCATCAAGGACATAAGCAACTTTTTTGGCCCGCAGAACAATACTGACGTTTTGATACCAGTCTATGAAATTAGGACCAGTCAACTTGTTCGTATCGAGAATAGTATGTAGAGACAAATGACCCGACATATTAGGCTAAAAAGGATGTAAAGATAAAATTTAATGTTGTTATAAATAGACCATATTATTAAAGACTCAAATAAATGGCCCCTCCCACTATTTTATCTAAGTCAATGACCTTTATCTTTATTGACCTATGGCTATTCTTGTTAAGAATTTTCGTAGTGGGTTAAGAGAATGACCATTTCCTTTAATCCCCGTCTGAGACTGCAAGATCAAATTAAACGATTGGTTGATCATTGTCAACGATATCTTATACCTTTTCTTAACATTAAGTTGACAACTTCTTGTCACTTAGTGGTGCATCTCATGCAACCAACCTGGCACCATTGCCCCAAGTACATAATCCCGACTGAGCCTGCAACTTATGCACCTAGTCAAGTACAAACTACCATCCTAGGTGTCTCTACACTTCAAGCACTCATCTTGCCCAACGAAATAGTGGGTCTCAACTGATTTGTAAAGCACCACCGTGTCGAAGGGATTCAATTTGTACTGACGGTGGGAGGAAATCATGCACTTAATAATTGTTCCTTTCAAGGGTTTCTTTTATTTTTGTTAGGGATTTACCAAATCTCATCAAACGCGGATATTGTACTATCATGCTAGTCGTTGCCATATGACATACATCTACAACATACTATAGTAGTCGTTTTTGGACATGCATAATAGCAACATACAGACATAATTGTATGACATGCATACTTGTCGCTTTGACATACACACATACATTCATAAGCATAATAAATCAAATTTATTTTGGGATAATCACGGTACTCATGCCATCTTCTCCCATTATGCTCCTTAAGTCATGGCTCCTCCATGGACTCCTCCATGCCTAAAACGCCACTAGCCTAATTTCTAATTACATATTAATTCAAGAAACCCCAAGTTATATTTGGGGGAGTAAGGTGAGAAAAGAATTTACACAAGAGTAAAAAAAGACAAGGCATACAAGCCTTATTTCCTAAAATTAAATTACAACGATTAGAAATTTTAATCTTGGGCACCATGACCATCCCCTTCCTTTATTTGCACATGAAAAGTTAGTAAACAAACAAGCGCAAAATATGACAAATATGTTCTATTCATTTACAAGGACATATTAACATTTAACATATCCCAAAAATTCAAAATTTATACAAAGTTCATATTTTTACCGAACAAAAATGTTAAAGATCAAATCTTTATTTGATCAAAATGGAAAGGTTATACTTTTAACCGATCAAAACGTCAAAGATCATATCTTTAACCAACAAAATGCAAAGTTCAAATTTTTAAACGATTAAAATGTCAAAGTATATATAGGTCACATTTTTAACCGATTTAAACATCAAAGACAAAATCTTTAATTAACCAAAATGTAAAGATTGCATTTTTTAACTGAACAAAAACACCCTAACATGTCGATAGTAAAATAAGAAGCTCTGATACCAATTGAAATTCACCTCTTGTAGGCCATAAACATAAAGGAGGGAAAAATAAAAAAATTTGAGCGAAAGAAGCAACCTTTGCCCACCTTCAAGCATGTTTAACCCATGAATCATGTAATAGACATGTTAGTGGTTTAAAGTTTATACCTTTATTCAGATTAACGTTCCTAATCAAATGCGTTCTTAATCAATTCTTCAGACTTGAAGAACATAAGTCCTCCGATGAAAATCCATACCACCTTGTTGTCTTGTAAGAGAAGAACTCTTCTTTGAACACCTAATGCCCTTCAATGGAGGTCGGTAGACTCAAGAGAAGAGAGGAGGGTGAGTGGCACCTATGGTGATCCCAAGATAGGGAGAGATAGCTGCCACACTGATGTGTGTTGGCTAGGGTTCCAATGGAGAAAATTAGAAAAGAAGAGTTACGAAAAATCAGAAATAAGGGTACTATATATGTGACGCCTCACTAACCTAAAACAAGGTCAAATTAGCGCCCAAATCAAATCTCAATCTTATTGGGTAATTTCTTTAATTTTATCCAATCAATCTAGTTGATTAGTTTTTCAAATTTCAGCCAATTAATTTAATTAATTGATTTCTTTAATTTTGGTCAATCAATCTAATTGATTGGTTTCCTCTATTTTCTCCATTTTCATTAAATCTAATCTAATGAATTTATTTAAATTAAAAATTCTAAATAAATAAATAATTCAAAATTAGAATTCAAATTAATTTTATTTAAATTCAAATTAATTTTATTTAAATTTCAATTTCAATTTCAAAATTCAAAATTAGAATTCAAATTAATTTTATTAATTTCACATTTAAATTAATTAGGTTACATCATTGATCAAGTCCAACTTGGCCCATGATGCCACCTACCCTCTCTTGGCCCAACATGTGAGCTTTACCAACTTAGGCCTATTAACCCTTATTGGGCTCAAACCACATATGCTAGAATTCAAGACAACTTAAGGTATTTGTGTATGACCCATCGCGCACAACATAGCCATTGACATAAATGAGCTTGGCCCCATTATGCCCAATCCATCTAATGACAACACAGAGCACTAACAATGTTTTGTTGTCCCAGAGCTAGTTGAGTTCATCGAATGATCACCATGTTATACCTATTTGGTTACCATGTGAATTATCCTTTCGTTTCGGTTATTCGTCCCATTGACATAGGTCAAGGAAAACGTATCAACCGCTGCGGTCTAGGGTTAGCTTTTGCCGAAATAGGGAATATTCATGTATGGACTCTAAAGAGCGGGTCATCTCTTGACTCCTTTACTATGCATAGATTCTCGAGTCCCGTAAATGTCATCCTGATTTCACCGGTCTACGGATAACTTAATCTCTCATAGAGATTGACTAATTCCTTCAGCTTGTCACACTAGCCTTGAGTCCTTAGGGCATGCCTAAGAGTATATCTACGAGTCTCTATATTTCAGGCAGACAAGATATACAATCAAAGCAAGCCTTCCAGAGAACAAGTCTCTATGACAACATCAGTTATGAGGAAAGGCACATCTAAATAATAAAAGACATTACATATTGATACTTGACGCGAGCTGTTGAACTCGCGCAAATTAAAAATTATTTTTATTTAGGGTTCAGAAAATTTTGCAGTAAAGTGGAAACCCTAATTCGTCTCTCAAGGAAATTGTTTTGGTAAAAACCGCTTATGAAAATAGAAAATAAAAAGGGGGTTTTGGATTTTGGTTGAATAATTAAAAGAGAATATAAAAATTGGGATTAAAAATTCTTAATTAGAAATTAACCAACCTAAGGTTAGGATTCTTAGGATGTCCTTCCTTGGATAAAACTTACCAAATTCGCGATTAATCTCAATTGAATCAGAATCCTTATTTTCAACTGAGAACAATCTGATTATCAAATCTGATGATCATTCTTTTTCCATAATCACAATCGCGAATCTCAGATCGAATATCCACAATCGCACG